ATGTAATTAATATAACGACAAAATTACATGTACTTAGTTTGAAATAAACTACAAAAAATATGAGTGTCCTGTTCTGATGCTACCCGACATTACAAAATGGTGTAATTTTACGAGCAAAACTATGAAATAAATTCTTAATTAAATTTTATTAGCAAAACCGTGTAATAAATTGTTACAATTTTAGTACATGTACCGCCTAAGCGAGTACAATAAATTGTTAGTAAAATTCATTATATCAAAAAATCGTATTCCGCTGTTTTGATTAATTTTCTACCAAACCATTAAAATTAATTTTTTTAAATAAAAACTAATTAATTTTTAATCAGAGTTAATTTGGTTTATTTGAAAATAAGTATGTTGTAATTAATATAACGACAATAATACATGTAGTTTGAATAAAAATGTTAGTGTCCGGTTCTTTTGTCTTCGACTGTACTCGATGCGACCCGACGAAAATCCGGACAGTGGGGATCGCAGAACGTCGGGTAGGTTAGTGTGGCATAGCATCGGGTAGATGTGCACGGGGGTAATGCAACCTTAAGGAAAATCGGAGTTTGGATTTGCGTCGGGTAGCATCGGGTAGCTTCGCATGGCGTAGCATTGGGTAAGTGTGTTTCTGGCTTTACTGGGTTGTAGTGGTTTATGTTGGACCTGGATCGGGCTAATAGGTTACGATGTGAAGAAAGTTTGTTTAAGTTTAGGTTTTTAATGAAGGATTTTGGAAGTCATTGTAAGCAGTAGTGTCGGAATGGTACGAACAAGGTCTGAAGACTTTGGAATAGAAGGATTGTATGTTTTTGGAGGTTGGAGTGTTTACAGGTGTTTTATAGTTCTAATCCATATGTCCAAAGCGATTTGCATTAGTTTAATCATTGTATTTTAGTTTATGTATGTCGGTTCAAGGTTAGACTAGAGTACAATCTAATGTAGCTTACACAGACAGTTTTTGGGATAGGATTACTACTGGGGAATATTTTATGTTGGGTTTTGTTTCGGAGTTCTTCCAGTTATCTTAAGGTGCAAAAATTTATATCACTCGGCTATTTGGACTGCCTGTCCTTGGATCTCCTCCGAAGTAACTGCTGGATCATAGAGCATAGCCCAGGTGTGTCGTATGGAATGGTATGGTGAAAAAGGAAACTAGGAAGCCGGGTTTGCACATCCCTGGCAATGAAGCCTTCTGGCTTATTGTACCTTCCTGGTTTCTTAGTTCAGTGCAATAGACTTAATCCTTCTCCTTAGAAGGATCAGGTCATTTACTGTCTCTGCTGCAATTTGATTCCCTAAGTTTTTTCCGTACGTTAGGTTAAATCTCCATTGAGCTGTTGCTTCGCATTCGAAGATGATATGAGTGGCTGTTTCCTCCTCCTCATTGCATAAACTGCAAATGGGATCATCGTTGTATATGCCCATGTTGTGTAGATGTTTTCTAAAATGACGGTGACCGGTCACTAGTCCTACCACTCCTCTGAGGCCCTTTCCAATTGCAGATTTTGCCAGTATTCGTGCCAGTATTCATCATAAGTTTGCTGTGTCTAGCACCGCTAGAGGTTATTTATTTATGTTTTGTTTGGATCCATTCTGCGATGTAGGAGTCTATATTTGTTTTTGTTATCCGAAGAATAGGTTCGGGGCCTAGGTATGGTCTTGCAGATCCTCCTCTAGCCAGACTGCCTGCTTTCTCGTTACCCAAAATTGCCCTGTGCCCGGCACCCAAGATATCATCAGGTTGTTGTGTTTCCCCTGGTTTTGAAGATTTTGGATGCATTTACTGATTAATATTGATGTGATTCTTTTACAGCTTTAATGGCTGCTTGGCTATCTAATCTTATGAGAATTTTTTGGTCAGGGTAACCTCTTTTAAGATTTTCCAAGGAACAAGCATTGATGGCATGTATTTCTGCTTGAAAGACCGAAGTGTACTTCCCTATTGAGTTTGATTGCTCATTTTTTGGGCTTGTACAGAAAACGCCTGATCCAGGTGTGTCGTAAGGAAGATAGGAGACTGGATGATGTAGGCAATATCTGAGGTAAACATGAGGTTCAAGATAGGTCCGAGTACATAGCCCTATGGCACTCCCACCCCTAGAGGGCAATATTCGGAATGATAGGAGCGAAGGATTAGGTACATAGTATTTGGAAGATATGTGGCATAGTCTCCTGTACAGATTAATTAATGATTAAAACCAAAAATATCAACAAACAAATATAAAATAAAAATGAAGTAGGACACTTTGACTAAGGTTGGGAACAATTTTCCGCCTTCAATTTTGTGATTCAATCCTGGTCTTCTTTATTCGATTAGGTGCAAACCTCTCCGCGGAGAAAATCTTGACGTTTGAACGTTGAATTCTCAACACTTAAACCGTCCTGGCTCCTTAATTTTCTAGCCGGAATAATTTACCGTTTAAACAGAACGTTTCCTCTGTTCTATTATTCCATTATAACAAAGCGCCCTCGATGAAAAATTAACCAGCATAATAAACAACTGTGGTTTAAGTTAAATATTCAAATTGTTTCTTCAGTCGTGGTAACAATTCGCCACGTTTGTTCAAGTAATTACACCAGAGACTTCTCATCATAAAACATGCAATTTAGCATGACAGAAACGGCTCACGGTATAAACAACGTTCCACTTTCAAAGATTAGCTCATTTAAATTGATCAATAATCAAAACCGGGCAACGTTTGTGGATGCCACGTTTGTTGTGCCTGAGAGAGTGATCATTTTCATCAGTTTTAATCAAAATTTCAAACGGAATACTAAGTTATGTGGATATTATCAAGTTACTTGATGAACTAGGATTCCCGGTGTGCTACATACACCAATACCATTAGACTCTCTCTCACTCTCTCTCACCCTCTCACTCTCTTTCTCACTTCGTCAATCTTTTCTTTCTTCTTCGGATTTTTTTTTCACTTTCTTATTCTGCCTACTTTACTCCTTCTGTCTTTTTTTAAACTGTCTTTTTTATCTCTCCACTCCCTTCTTATTTTTGGTCCCTTTTTTCTTTCTCTTTTTCTATTCCTAATCCTTCTCTTTTTTCTCTATTTTCTCACTCTCATCTCTTTTCTTTTCCTGCTTTCTTTCTCTACTTTATTACTTCTATCTTTTCTTTCTAACTTAATTCTTTGTCTCTCTCCCCATCTCTTTTTGCTTGCCTTGTTTACTTTATTTCTCTATATTATTCGTTCTCTTCTTTATTTATCTTAATTCTAAATATTAATATCTCTCTCTCTCTCTCTCTCTCTCTCTCTCTCTCTCTCTCTCTTTCTTTCTATCTCTCTCTCTCTCTCTCTCTCTCTCTCTCTCTCTCTCTCTCTTTCTCTCTCTCTCTTGCATTTTTGTAACCATGCACATGAAAGGATGTTGAAACTGTTTATAAATTAGTAAGACATAATTAAATTAATAATTCATTTGAAAAAGAAGAAAAACTAAAGATGGTTAAAAAAAATTGCGTCTCACCGAATGCGTTGCCAAATGAACAGGGATGGTTAAAAATTAAAATAACGTGGTTTCCTGATCACCTTTTTTTCTAATTATTTTCCCATGATTTTAACTGAAAAAGGCTATATTTAAAAGTACTTTTACAAAACCGTTTTATATTATAAAACACAAAATCTCAAATTTAGATCTAAAGACTTAAAAAATATTAGTAATTTTTTATGTAACTTACAAGGTTTTCCCTAGACCAAAACTACTAACAATCACTTTATTCATAATGATTTCTAACTATCAATTCTTTAAAATGTGGTAATGTTACGTTTTCATTTTGGAAAAAAACACAACCTAAAATCAGTTATGTCATGTTTTAACGAGAACAAAAAGCTTGAAGTGATCGGATTAAATTTTAATTTTTTTTAGCGTGTTTAATTATTTATGAATATCTGAAATTACTTAAAAAATTATCTTTAGCTGTGAAAATTTTAAAATGCTGTAATGAGATTTCAGTTAATTATTAAAGTTAATTTATCAGTAATTCATAAATATTTAAATTACAAGATCGACACGAGCAGTGAAATAGAATAAACAATTTTACCTTTTGTGCAAGAATAGAAAATTTCTTGATTATCAAATAAAATTTTGTGTTTTCCAGATTCATGCACTCTCATACCAATTTTGTAAGCGCGACTCTTCTGTTTTGGGCACAATCCTGAATTCGGAGAACCGAAAACAAGTAGCCAGAGGTTTTCTTATGATCGGACCTGACGACATTAATTTAATTTAATGATCAGGCACCTAATTTTCATATACAAAATTCCAATATTCAATTCAAACCAAAATAAATACGAGACCAAAATATTAATTAAATTTAAATATTTTATTACACTTTATTTCCAAACAAAATTACAATTTCTTTTATTAATTATTATTTTTAATTTAAAGAATCTTTTATTCTATAATAAAA